ACACACAGTCACAGACACAGACACACAGTCACAGACACACAGTCACAGACACACAGGTCACAGACACACAGGTCACAGACACACAGTCACAGACACACAGTCACAGACACACAGTCACAGACACACAGTTACAGACACAGTTACAGACACACAGGTCACAGACACACAGTCACAGACACACAGTTACAGACACACAGTCACAGACACACAGGTCACAGACACACAGGTCACAGACACACAGTCACAGACACACAGTCACAGACACACAGTTACAGACACACAGACACACAGTCACAGACACAGGTCACAGACACACAGTTACAGACACACTGTCACAGACACACAGTCACAGACACACAGTCACAGACACAGGTCACAGACACACAGTCACACACACAGTTACAGACACACAGTCACACACACAAAGTTACAGACACAGTCACAGACACAGGTCACAGACACACAGGTCACAAACACACAGTCACAGACACACAGTCACAGACACAGGTCACAGACACACAGTCACACACACAGTTACAGACACAGGTCACAGACACAGTCACAGACACACAGACACAGACACAGTCACAGTTACAGACACAGTCACACACACACACAGTTACAGACACAGGTCACAGACACAGTCACAGACACACAGTTACAGGCACACAGTAACAGGTCACACACACACAGATCACAGACACACAAGTCACACACACACAGTTACAGACACACAGGTCACACACACACAGTTACAGACACAAAGGTCACACAGTCACACACACACAGTCATAGACACACAGTTACAGACACACAGTCACACACACACAGTTACAGACACACAGGTCACACACACACACAGTTAGACACACAGTCACAGACAGTCACAGACACACAGTTACAGACACAGACATACAGGTCACAGACACACAGTCACAGACACACAGTCACAAACACACAGTCACAGACACACAGTTACAGACACACAGTCACACACACACAGGTCACAGACACAGTTACAGACACACAGTCACAGACACACAGGTCACAGACACACAGGTCACAGACAGTTACACACACACAGTCACAGACACACAGTTACAGACACACAGGTCACACAGTTACAGACACACAGGTCACAGACATACAGTTACAGACACACAGGTCACAGACACACAGTTACAGACACACAGGTCACACACACAGTTACAGACACACAGGTCACAGACACAGTTACAGACACACAGGTCACAAACACACAGGTCACAGACATAGTTACAGACACACAGGTCACACACACACAGTTACAGACACAGTCACAGACAGACAGTTACAGACACAGTCACAGACACAGGTCACAGACACGGTCACAGACACGGTCACAGACACACATGTCACAGACACACAGTCACAGACACACAGTTACAGACAAACAGTTACAGACACACAGGTCACAGACACAGTTACAGACACACAGGTCACAGACACAGGTCACAGACACACAGGTCACCGACAGTTACACACACACAGTCACAGACACACAGCTAGACACACAGTTACAGACACACAGGTCACACACACACAGTTACAGACACACAGTCACAGACACACAGTTACAGATACACAGGTCACACAGTTACAGACACACAGGTCACAGACACACAGTCACAGACACACAGGTCACAGACACACAGTTAGACAAACAGGTCACAGACACAGTCACAGACACACAGGTCACAGACACACAGTTACAGACACACAGGTCACACAGTCACAGACACAGTTACAGACACACAGTCACAGACACACAGGTCACAGACACACAGTCACAGACACACAATCACAGACACACAGGTCACAGACACACAGTTACAGACACACAGGTCACACACACACAGTTACAGACACACAAGTCACAGACACAGTTACAGACACACAGGTCACAGACACACAGTCACAGACAAACAGTTACAGACACAGGTCACAGACACACAGTCACAGATACAGTTACAGACACACAGGTCACACACACAGTTACAGACACACAGTCACACACACACACACAGGTCAGAGACACAGTTACAGACACACAGTTACTGACACACAGGTCACAGACACACAGGTCACAGACAGTTACACACAGGTCACAGACATACAGTTACAGACACACAGTCACAGACACACAGTTAGACACACAGGTCACAGACACACAGTCACAGACACACAGGTCACAGACACACAGTTACAGACACACAGATCACACACACACAGTTACAGACACACAGGTCACAGACACAGTTACAGACACACGTCACAGACACACAGTTACAGACACACAGGTCACAGACACAGTTACAGACACACGTCACAGACACACAGGTCACAGACACAGTTACAGACACACGTCACAGACACACAGTCACAGACACACAGTCATAGACACACAGTTACAGACACAAGACACAGACACACAGGTCACAGACACACAGGTCACACACACAGTTAGACACACAGTCACAGACACACAGGTCAGACACACAGTCACACACACACAGTTACAGACACACAGACACACACAGGTCACAGACACAGTTACAGACACACAGGTCACAGACACACAGTTACAGACCTACAGGTCACACACACAGTTACAGACACACAGGTCACACACACACAGTTACAGACACACACAGGTCACAGACACACAGTTAGACACACAGGTCACACACACACAGTTACAGACACAAAGGTCACACACACACAGTTACACACACACAGTTACAGACACACAGGTCACAGACACACAGTCACAGACACAGTTACAAACACAGTCACAGACACACAGTCACAGACACACAGTCACAGACACACAGGTCACAGACACACAGTCACAGACACACAGGTCACAGACACACAGTTACAGACACACAGGTCACACACAAACAGTTACAGACACACAGGTCACAGACACAGTTACAGACACACAGGTCACAGACACACAGGTCAAAGACACACAGTCACAAACAGTTACAGACACAAGTCACAGACACAGTTACAGACACACAGGTCACACACACACACACACAGTCACAGACACACAGTCACAAACACGCAGTCACAGACAAACAGTTACAGACACAGGTCACAGACACACACAGGTCACAGACACACAGTTACAGACACACAGTCACAGACAGTTACACACACACAGTCACAGACACACAGTTACAGACACACAGGTCACACAGTTAGACACACAGGTCACAGACATACAGTTACAAACACACAGTCACAGACACACAGTCACAGACACACAGGTCACAGACACACAGTTACAGACACACAGATCACAGACACACAGGTCACAGACACACAGTTACAGTTACAGACACACAGGCCACAGACACACAGTCACAGACACAGTTACAGACACACAGGTCACACACACAGTTACAGACACACAGTCACAGACACACAGTCACACACACACAGTTACAGACACACAGTCACAGACACACAGGTCAGACACACAGTCACACACACACAGTCACAGGTCACAGACACAGTCACAGACACACAGGTCACACACACACAGTTACAGACACACAGGTCACAGACACACAGTTACAGACACAGTCACAGACACACAGTTACAGACACAGTCACAGACACACAGTTACAGACACACAGGTCACAGACACAGTTACAGACACACAGGTCACAGACACACAGGTCACAGACAGTTACACACACACAGTTACAGACACACAGGTCACAGACACAGTTACAGACACACAGGTCACAGACACAGTCACAGACACACAGTTACAGACAGTCACAGACACAGGTCACAGACACACAGTCACAGACACACAGGTCACAGACACAGTTACAGACACACAGGTCACACACACACAGCTAGACACACAGTTACAGACACACAGTCACACAGTTACAGACACACAGGTCACACAGTTACAGACACACAGGTCACAGACACACAGTCAGACACACAGTCACAGACACACAGGTCACAGACACACAGTCACAGACACACAGTCACAGACACACAGTCACAGACACACAGGTCACAGACACAGTTACAGACACACAGGTCACAGACACAGTTACAGACACACAGGTCACACACACACAGCTAGACACACAGTTACAGACACACAGTCACACAGTTACAGACACACAGGTCACACACACACAGTTACAGACACACAGGTCACACAGTTACAGACACACAGGTCACAGACACACAGTCACAGACACACAGTCACAGACACACAGTCACAGACACACAGGTCACAGACACACAGTCACAGACACATCTTAAATGATTAAATCCAGTTTTACAAAAACATCTTTATAAAGTGATTAAATTTTATTATGTCACATGATACAATGAGGACTTTTGATTGGACGACAGTCGAGGTCAGAATAATAATAATAATATTAATAATAATAATGATAATAAATGATATAAAACAGTCTCAGACTAAACATGTGTTAATCAGATGTTCATTTGTATTTTATTCATCAACATTAACCTCATCAGGGTCAGAGGTCAGAGGTCACTCACAGCCGTTAGCTGCAGATTAGCGAGGGCTAAAGTGTTAGATTCTTTTGTCTTATTTTAAAAATGCACTTTGTAACTTTTTCTGTACAAGTTTTGAAGTGATTTTTAATGTAACTGAATAAATACCAGAGGAGAACCAGAGGAGAACCAGAGAGAGACCAGAGGAGAACCAGAGAAGAACCAGAGAGACCAGAGAGAGACCAGAGAGAGACCAGAGAGAGACCAGAGAGAGACACATGGTACAGTGAATGGTTCTGATGTTTGTGTCTTTGAATAAAACAGTTGTCAGAGACATCACTTATTCATGAAGTAGTTTGTGGATGAATCTGTCACCGTCAGACGTGGAGCAGCGTTGGCCCTGGACGCTGCATGTGACGCCCCCTGTGGCGTGCAGCTGGAACTACAGCTCAGTTTACGAGGAGCCGTCTTTGCTCTGTCTGATGTCTGCCACGCTCTCAGGGACACGCGCCACCATCCCATCCAGAGACTTGGTCAGACAGACCTGGCAACCCAGGCGAGACCTGAGGACACACCAGTTAGACTGTGTGTGTGTGTGTGTCTCACGTGTATGTGTGTCTATGTATGTGTCACGTGTCTGTGTGTGTCTGTATGTGTGTGTGCGTGTGTGTCACGTGTCTGTGTGTGTGTCACGTGTCTGTGTGTGTCTGTATGTGTGTGTGCGTGTGTGTCACGTGTGTGTGTGTCTGTGTGTGCGTGTATGTGTCTGTGTGTATGGGTCTCACGTGTCTGAGTCCGTGTGTGTGTGTCTCATGTGTCAGTGATTCCGTGTGTGTGTGTCTGTGTGTGTCTCACGTGTCAGTGAGTCCGTATGCCAGGTCCAACATGTCCATCTCTTCGTCTGTGACTGGTCCCAGTTGTTTAAAAACGTCATCGTCGAAGATTAAGTGACAAGTAGAACACGCCAAGGTCCCCTCACAGGCCCCTGGACACACAACACACACACACATCAGAGTAAGGACACACAACACACACACACACAACAGAGTAAGGACCAGTGTGGGCGGGTCCCAGCTCAAAAGTGTCCAAAATGACGTGCGCTGACATGCTGCAGTACCACCCCGGGCCTGTGGGGGTGGACCCTGACATGCTGCAGTACCACCCCGGGCCTGTGGGGGTGGACCCTGACATGCTGCAGTACCACCCCGGGCCTGTGGGGGTGGACCCTGACATGCTGCAGTACCACCCCGGGCCTGTGGGGGTGGACCCTGACATGCTGCAGTACCACCCCGGGCCTGTGGGGGTGGACCCTGACATGCTGCAGTACCACCCCGGGCCTGTGGGGGTGGACCCAGAAGTAGAATTAGCCAATGCTAACATATATGGCCCAAAGCTCCGTTCCACATGTGTGTCAATGCTGAGTGTTCTGGACCAGTCTAGTTTAGTCGCTGTGAATTTTTGAAGTCTCTCAAATGAATGGAGCTCTCGCAGCTGACGCACAGATGTGTTTTTTCACAATTTTCCTGTGGGCGGGACCACTCGCGGCCATTTTGGATAGCTCCAGTAGAGCACATTTTTTGGCCCATTAGTTAGAACGGCGGAGATAGACATGACTCTGTCCATTAATATATACAGTCTATGATAAGGACACACAACACACACACATCAGAGTAAGGACACACACAGAGTAAGGACACACACAGAGTAAAGACACACATCAGAGTAAGGACACACATCAGAGTAAGGACACACATCAGAGTAAGGACACACACAGAGTAAGGACACACACAGAGTAAGGACACACATCAGAGTAAGGACACACATCAGAGTAAGGACACACACAGAGTAAGGACACACATCAGAGTAAGGACACACATCAGAGTAAGGACACACATCAGAGTAAGGACACACACAGAGTAAGGACACACACAGAGTAAGGACACACATCAGAGTAAGGACACACATCAGAGTAAGGACACACACAGAGTAAGGACACACATCAGAGTAAGGACACACATCAGAGTAAGGACACACATCAGAGTAAGGACACACATCAGAGTAAGGACACACATCAGAGTAAGGACACACACAGAGTAAGGACACACATCAGAGTAAGGACACACATCAGAGTAAGGACACACACAGAGTAAGGACACACACAGAGTAAGGACACACACAGAGTAAGGACACACACAGAGTAAGGACACACATCAGAGTAAGGACACACACAGAGTAAGGCACACATCAGAGTAAGGACACACACAGAGTAAGGACACACATCAGAGTAAGGACACACACAGAGTAAGGACACACACAGAGTAAGGACACACATCAGAGTAAGGACACACATCAGAGTAAGGACACACATCAGAGTAAGGACACACACAGAGTAAGGACACACACAGAGTAAAGACACACACAGAGTAAGGACACACACAGAGTAAGGACACACACAGAGTAAGGACACACACAGAGTAAGGACACACACAAAGTAAGGACACACATCAGAGTAAGGACACACACAGAGTAAGGACACACACAGAGTAAGGACACACATCAGAGTAAGGACACACACAGAGTAAAGACACACACAGAGTAAGGACACACACAGACTAAGGACACACACAAAGTAAGGACACACATCAGAGTAAGGACACACACAGAGTAAGGACACACACAGAGTAAGGACACACATCAGAGTAAGGACACACATCAGAGTAAGGACACACACAGAGTAAGGACACACATCAGAGTAAGGACACACATCAGAGTAAGGACACACACAGAGTAAGGACACACACAGAGTAAGGACACACATCAGAGTAAGGACACACATCAGAGTAAGGACACACATCAGAGTAAGGACACACACAGAGTAAGGACACATCAGAGTAAGGACACACACAGAGTAAGGACACACACAGAGTAAGGACACACATCAGAGTAAGGACACACATCAGAGTAAGGACACACATCAGAGTAAGGACACACATCAGAGTAAGGACACACACAGAGTAAGGACACACACAGAGTAAGGACACACATCAGAGTAAGGACACACATCAGAGTAAGGACACACATCAGAGTAAGGACACACACAGAGTAAGGACACACACCGAGTAAGGACACACACAGAGTAAGGACACACACAGAGTAAAGACACACACAGAGTAAGGACACACACAGAGTAAAGACACACACAGAGTAAGGACACACACAGAGTAAAGACACACACAGAGTAAAGACACACACAGAGTAAGGACACACATCAGAGTAAGGACACACATCAGAGTAAGGACACACACAGAGTAAGGACACACACCGAGTAAGGACACACACACAGAGTAAGGACACACACAGAGTAAAGACACACACAGAGTAAGGACACACACAGAGTAAAGACACACACAGAGTAAGGACACACACAGAGTAAAGACACACACAGAGTAAAGACACACACAGAGTAAGACACACACAGAGTAAGGACACACACAGAGTAAGGACACACACAGAGTAAGGACACACACAGAGTAAGGACACACACAGAGTAAGGACACACACAGAGTAAGGACACACACAGAGTAAGGACACACACGAGTAAGGACAACAGAGTAAGGACACACACAGAGTAAGGACACACACAGAGTAAGGACACACACAGAGTAAGGACACACACAGAGTAAGGACACACACACAGAGTAAAGACACACACAGAGTAAAGACACACACAGAGTAAGGACACACATCAGAGTAAGGACACACACAGAGTAAGGACACACACAGAGTAAGGACACACACAGAGTATTAAACATAAACATTGGTATGTGCTCTACAAGAGTTAAGCTCCACAGTCACCGCTCACCAGAGGGAGACCTAACTAACTAACTCTAACTAACTCCAACTAGATCTAACTAACTCTAACTTAAACTAACTCTAACTAACTCCAACTAGATATAACTAACTCTGTTATTCTAATGTTTATTCACATGGAGCAGCTGTAAAAATTACACAAGGTGGCTTTAACTAACTCTAACTAGAGCTAACTAACTATCTCTAACTCTGACCCCAACTAACTAACGATTTCTAACTAACTAGCTCTAACTAACTAGCTCTAACTCTGACCCCAACTAACTAACAATCTCTAACTAACTAGCTCTAACAAAAAAGATCTAACTAACTAGCTCTAACTAACAATCTCTAACTAACTATCTCTAACTAACTATCTCTAACTAACTATAACTAACTAGCTCTAACTAACTAGCTCTAACTAAAAAGATCTAACTAACTAGCTCTAACTAACGATCTCTAACTAACGGTCTCTAACTAACTAGCTCTAACTAACTATAACTAACTAGCTCTAACTAACGATATCTAACTAACAATCTCTAACTAGCTCTAACTAACTAGCTCTAATTCTGACCCCAACTAACTAACAATCTCCAACTAACTAGCTCTAACTAACTAGCTCTAACTAACTAGCTCTAACTAACGATCACTAACTAACAGTCTCTAACTGACTAGCTCTAACTAACTATAACTAACTAGCTCTAACTAACTAGCTCTAACTAACTAGCTCTAACTAACGATATCTAACTAACGATCTCTAACTAACTAGCTCTAACTCTGACCCCAACTAACTAACGATCTCTAACTAACAATCTCCAACTAACTAGCTCTAACTAACAATCTCTAACTAACTAGCTCTAACTAACTATTGCTAACTAACTAGCTCTAACTTACTAGCTCTAACTAACAATCTCTAACTAACTAGCTCTAACTAACTAGTTCTAACTAACTAGCTCTAACTCTGACCCCAACTAACTAACGATCTCTTACTAACTAGCTCTAACTAACAATCTCTACTAACAATCTCTAACTAACGATCTCTAACTAACTAGACTCTAACTAACAATCTCTAACAATCTACGCTAACTAACGATCTCTAACTAACTAGCTCTAACTAACAATCTCTAACAATCTCTAACTAACTAGCTCTAACTAACAAACAATCTCTAACTAACTAGCTCTAACTAACTAGCTCTAACTAACAATCTCTAACTAACAATCTCTAACTAACGATCTCTAACTAACTAGCTCTAACTAACAATCTCTAACTAACTAGCTCTAACTAACAATCTCTAACTAACAATCTCTAACTAACTAGCTCTAACTAACAATCTCTAACTAACAATCTCTAACTAACGAGCTCTAACTAACTAGCTCTAACTAACTAGCTCTAACTAACAATCTCTAACTAACTAGCTTTAACTAACAATCGCTAACTAACTAGCTCTAACTAACTAGCTCTAACTAACAATCTCTAACTAACTAGCTCTAACTAACTAGCTCTAACTCTGACCCCAACTAACTAACGATCTCTAACTAACTAGCTCTAACTAACAATCTCTAACTAACAATCTCTAACTAACTAGCTCTAACTAACAATCTCTAATTAACAATCTCTAACTAACTAGCTCTAACTAACAAACAATCTCTAACTAACTAGCTCTAACTAACTAGCTCTAACTAACTAGCTCTAACTAACAATCTCTAACTAACGATCTCTAACTAACTAGCTCTAACTAACAATCTCTAACTAACGATCTCTAACTAACTAGCTCTAACTAACAATCTCTAACTAACGATCTCTAACTAACTAGCTCTAACTAACAATCTCTAACTAACTAGCTCTAACTAACTAGCTCTAACTAACTAGCTCTAACTGACCGAAACCGTCGAAGTCCAGGTCCTGGTTGATGACGAGGTCGAGCAGAGACTCTCCCGCTGAGCCTTTCACCGTCACCTTCTCCCCATCTCTGTTCACAAAATGTACTGTCACTTTGTTCTCCGCCCTGGACACACACAGACACACAACTGCATGAAGTACACACAGACACACAACTGCATGAAGTACACACAGACACACAACTGCATGAAGTACACACACAGACACACAACTGCATATAAGTACACACACACAACTGCATCTAAATACACATACAGACACACAAGTGCATCTAAGTACACACACAACTGCATGAAGTACACACAACTGCATCTACAAAGTGCACACACAGACACACAACTGCATCGAAGTACACACAACTTACAGTACAACTTCATGTGTACTTACATGCAGTTGTGTCTAAGTACACACACACACACACAAAAGTTCATGAATCATTGTGAACTTTTCTTGTTAAATATTAAATGTGTTTTGTTCTAATGGACCAGAACATGTGACATCACTCTGTGCCGGCCTCGCTGCTGCCCTTGGACAGGGCCTTGGACAGGGCCTTGGACAGGGCCTTGGACAGGGCCTTGGACAGGGCCTTGGACAGTTGCACAGAGAGAATAATAAATCCCAAACACAAACTATATGTTTTTATTCAATCTCTTAGTTTGCAGCAGTAGTAGCAGTAGGAGCAGTAGTAGGAGCAGTAGGAGCAGTAGTAGGAGTAGTAGGAGCAGTAGGAGCAGCAGTAGGAGCAGCAGGAGCAGTAGTAGGAGCAGTAGGAGCAGTAGTAGGAGTAGTAGGAGCAGCAGTAGGAGCAGCAGTAGGAGCAGCAGTAGGAGCAGCAGTAGCAGCAGCAGTAGCAGCAGCAGGAGCAGCAGTAGGAGCAGCAGTAGGAGCAGCAGTAGGAGCAGCAGTAGGAGCAGTAGTAGGAGCAGTAGGAGCAGCAGTAGGAGCAGCAGTAGGAGCAGTAGGAGCAGCAGTAGCAGCAGTAGGAGCAGTAGGAGCAGCAGTAGGAGCAGCAGTAGGAGCAGCAGTAGGAGCAGCAGTAGTAGGAGCAGCAGCAGTAGGAGCAGCAGTAGGAGCAGCAGTAGCAGCAGCAGTAGCAGCAGCAGGAGCAGCAGTAGGAGCAGCAGTAGGAGCAGCAGTAGGAGCAGCAGTAGGAGCAGTAGTAGGAGCAGTAGGAGCAGCAGTAGGAGCAGCAGTAGGAGCAGTAGGAGCAGCAGTAGCAGCAGTAGGAGCAGTAGGAGCAGCAGTAGGAGCAGCAGTAGGAGCAGCAGTAGGAGCAGCAGTAGTAGGAGCAGCAGCAGTAGGAGCAGCAGTAGGAGCAGTAGGAGCAGCAGTAGGAGCAGCAGTAGGAGCAGCAGTAGGAGCAGTAGGAGCAGCAGTAGGAGCAGTAGGAGCAGCAGTAGGAGCAGCAGCAGGTACCAGTTGTTTTCATTCATTCATTTTCAAACCCCTTTATTAACCCATTTCTGGGTCGGGCGGTGACAGTCAGAGCTGTGATCCTCTGCAGGAGGATCTCATGAATGAATGTTATTATATTATTATATTATTATTATATTATTATATTATTATTATATTATTATTATATTATGACATGTTTAATTGTTTTTTACAGCAGTGACATCAACTTTGTAACAAATAAAAAGTTCATCTGAGACAGAAACACACTCAACTGTGACTATACACACATATATACATACACACACACACATATATACATACACACACATATATATACATACACACACATATATACATACACACACATATATACATACACACACATATATATACATACACACACATATATACATACACACACACACACATATATACATACACACATATATACATACACACACACATATATACATACACACACACATATATACATACACACACACATATATACATACACACATATATACACACACACATATATACATACACACACACATATATACACACACACACACATATACATACACACACACACATATACATATACATACACACACACACACATAGACATATACATACACACACACACACATAGACATATACATACACACACACACATAGACATATACACACACACACACATAGACATATACATACACACACACATAGACACACATACACACATACATACACACACACATAGACACATACATACACACACACACATAGACATATACACACACACACACATAC